TAACGTACAAAATTACAAACATAACATACAGAACAATTTACTACTCATCTACATTTTGTATGTGTGAAAGCGATTTAAAGAAATCATGATGTTTCGGTGGTATATATCGTTAGTATCGTGGCCAGGGAAAAAGCCTTGCGGCATAAAAAACCCTGTGATTTATTCTTTATAGTAGTCGTGATTCGTCCTTCGCGTACTTCGCTTGTGTATTAATACAAGAAGTACTCTCCCCTCTGGAAGGCTTCAGATATTCTAATTTACTGCTTTCGCTTAGGTTATGTAATCGATATATAGATGATTCTTACCTCTCAATAACTCAATTGTATGGATGCAATAAGTTAAACTCGTCTTTCGTTTTACAATGATGATTGTTCGGAAAGTGTATGGATTGCCGGTACAGTTTCTTTCCTTATCTTCTTCTTTGTTCCTTCATTGTTCCTTCGTTGTTTCTTCGTCTCTAAAGGTACAGTGGCGCCCATATACTTACGTACACTTCATATTTTAACTTTTAAACTTTTTTTATGTTTTTTTCATACTTATCTAGCAAGCTTACAAGAAATGTTGCTTAAGACCTACTGTAAAAGGTGGTGCTGAATCGGTATTGGTATAGGGTGCAATGACTATAAACGGTACGGGCTCTATTCACCACATCGAAGATATTATTGACAAATTTGTATATCTAAACATTGTGAAGGATCAGTTAATACCATTTACTGAGGAGTATATGCCGCATGATTGGATTTATCAAGAAGATAATGATTAGAAACACACCGCACTTGTGGCAAAATTATTTTAAAATAAAAAAAATATTAGTTTGATGAAGTGGCAAGCGGAATCTCTGGACTTCAACTCCATTGAAATGTTATGGATTGATGTGGACCAACATGTAAGAAAACAAAAGCCAAAAAATATTAACGAATTATATGCCATAATTGAAGAAGCTTGGTCTTTAATACCAGTTAGTCGATGCGTTCGACTTATCGAACCTATGGGACGTAGGTATGTAGAGGTTTTAAGGAATAAGGGCTTAGCTACTAAATATTAATCGTATTAATTTAATTTGAGTTAATTTAAGTTAATTTAGGTTGAAAATATCTATAAAAATACAAATATTTCCGTATGTACGTAAGTATATGTCCGCAAAAAATATTATTTAGGAATAGAAAAAAAATATCATGTGTGCAGATAACACGTGTTAGAAGTAAAACCTTCAAAAAACTGTTTCGAGAGAATGAGACGAATGCACAGTATCAAGAGTAAGATAATTGTAGGATTTATTTATTTTAATATTGTTACTATTTAATAGATAATACTAAAGATCTGGGACTGCAAATAAGTGCGGAAAAAACCAAATATATGGTAACCGGTAGAGTTCAGAATAGGCCTAGTACTGGAATTTTGGTCGTCCGGAATAAAACTTTTGAGCGAATCAGCAACTTTAGGTATTTAGGATCAATCAGAAACCAGACGAACGAAATTAACGAAGAACTTAAGAAAAGAATCAATCTAGGCAACTCATGTTTTTATTCGGTTAACAAATTACTCAGCTGTCTAGGCGATTAAAAATCAGGATATACAGGACTATCATCCTGCTGGTAGTCCTTTATGGTAGCGAATCGTGGTGGCTTACGTTACGGGACGAAAAGAAATTTAGGGTTTTCGAAAACAAAGTTCTTCCTAAAATCTTTGGTGCAAAACGCGATGAGGAAACGGGCGAATAGAGAAAACTCCATAACGTTGAAGTACATCGATTGTACAACAAACCGAACATTATCAACGTCGTAAAATCACGCCGATTAAGATGGGCTGGTTACGTGGCGCACATGGGGGAGGATCGAACGGCGCACAAAATATTGGTCGGTATACCGAACGGGAAAAAACCACTAGGTAGACCGAGACGTAGATTGAAGGATAATATTAGAAGAGACCTGAAAGAAATAGGATGCGAAGACCGCGAATGGATAGATCGCGCTCAGGGACGGGAACAATGGCGGGATTTGGTATTTGCGGCAATGAACTTTCTAGTTTCTAATGCCAGTTAATAATAATAATAATAATAATAATAATAATAATAATAATAATAATAATAATAATAATAGANTAATAATAATAATAATAATAATAATAATAATAATAATAATAATAATAATAATAATAGAAATAATAATAATAGTAATAATATTCTTACCATATATATCAAAGAGCACCTGTATGATCAGTGGGTGGAATAGCTGATAAAAACTACACTTTTCCAAATTCCAGCAATAAAAATGGAATGCTGAATGCGATAGTCATAGATAAACACCAAAATTGTAGGATGTTTATCAAAGTAAATATAATTCGTCGGAAACTAAGTAAATACGAATAATCCTTTTTTTGAAACTCAGGTATAAAATTTTTTTTGTTAGTATGGTTTTCGAATTCTCACTTTCATCTACATTTTTGGGCTGTCTAAAAAACATATTAAGAATGAGGAAATTAAGACGTTAGGAAATACATATGGAAATTACTGCAGGATTGAACGAAGGTTCTGGTATAAATGCAATAAGAGATCTAATAGATATATTTTCTAGAAATGCTTTTTCAACTGCATAGCCTGCCACACTTCGAGACCCTTATTATTTATAACATATCTCGTTTTTATTCTTTGAACCACAAACTTAAATTCTCTAAATACTCTCGTCTAAATAAAGATCTAAACAACGAAAAATCCAAACAACGCATTGAATCGTATAGCTCTCTGAGCTTATCGAACTGTGTACACAACGAGTCTCGAATTTGGGCCCTGTGGTAAACTCCACCAATTCACGCTGGGCGTTCAGCCTGTTAACTTGGTCATGGACGAAATAATCAAGGAGGTGAAAACAGCTGGAAAAGGAGGTAAGCTAGAAAAAGAAAATATTGTAGGGAAATCAATTGTTCTGTATCCGGCTAAGGATATCTAATTCCCCCGTGTTGCCGACACTACTTGAGATATAAAAGATACTCTTTATTCTCACAAATTATTGCTTATTACAACTACAATTACCCTTACAATATAACAATTACAATAACGCTTCGCAACTTTTCGCACTCACTCAGACCTCACAGAATCACTACTCACTCGCTACTCTCTACTCACTTTTCTCACTCGCTCTCGTCACTCGGTTCTCTCCACGCTACTCTCTCGGAAAAACCACAACAACAACCCCCGACGCGTGACCGTCCTCTCCTTATGAGGTTTCTCCCCCACCCCGCATGTTCCAAACGCACTCGGACCTTTGGACCCACACCGACTAACCACACAACATGTCGAACCTTTGGACCCACACCGACCTACACACACAACCTCTCGGACCTTTGGACTCACACAGACTTACACACACAACCCCTCGGACCTTTGGACTCACACAGATTTACACACACAACCTCTTCGATTTTCAACACACCCCACAATATAAAAATAATATTTACGCCGACGACGCAGTCATCATATCGGAATATGAAGATCAGCAAAGGATGTTATACAAATTCAAAAAAACGGCAGGAAAGCTTAATATGACTATTCCTTTTTCTCTAATGTATCTTGTAATCATATTATTTTTTGTAAAATATAGCAGACAATACAATTATTATATTCTATATATTTTATAATTATTAATTATAATATTTGTGAAATAAAGAATTTAATATTAATTTTTCAATAAAATAGAAACATTTTTAAATAGAAAAGAAATGGCACGTTTAGTAAAAAAAAATACACTATACTTGCTATGATATTTTCAAAAAATATAATACAACTTACTGTAGAAAAAAAGAAAAAATTAAAAATTAAATTAAGAAGTTAATCTTGATGAGACTTGATCCAGCGATCTCTAGGTAACGAGTTTAGGTTGATAAGCAATACTTTTTTTTTTTTTAATTGATGTTTATTTTTCTCTTCCTGTAAAAATACATTTTTCTTTTACATAAATGGTTTTTGAAAATACATCACAAAAATATACCATAAATCTTACTGTCTATATTTATTAACTTAGTCTAGTGAACACGTTAATAAACTAATTTTATTTATTTATTCCAGTAACTTATTACTAAAACTAGCATGAATTTCAGTCAATTATTTTGATTATCACTTATATGTTTCCAAGTTTTGGAGAATAAACAGAGATCCTGTTTACAAATAAACTATCCCTCTGTAAAGAACCTGTTCTAACCGTTACTTTATATTAATTTTTAATCTTTCCTTTTGCTCACTATCTAGTTTATTTTAGATACGAATTATGTAATAAGAAGGATAAATATAAATATAATTATATACAATATAGAGAACACTTAACAAGAATTCTTAAAACCTACTATTTACATAACACATGAGTTGAAAAGTCCTGGGCCTAACAAAGAAAACACAGTTTTTTTTTTGTTCAAAATTGGCTTTATTCATCAATATAATCTCCATCAAAAGCTACACAATCATTCCAGCGTCGCTCTAACATTTCAATACCACTTTTGTAGAACGATTTATCTTTTGCCTCAAAATAGGCCTCAGTTTCAATGATAACCTCTTCATTCGAGAAAAATTTCTTACCGGCGAGCATTTTTTGGAGGTCTGCGAACAGCCAGTAGTCGCTGGGAGCCAAATCTGGAGAATACAGTGGATGCGGGAGCAATTCGAAGTTCAATTCATGCAGTTTTGCCATTGTTTTGATTGACTTGTAACACGGTGCGTTGTCTTGATGAAACAAAATTTTTTTCTTTGCCATATGCGGTCGTTTTTTTGCAATTTCAGCCTTCAAACACTACAATAACGCTATATAATATTCACCGTTGATGGTATTTTCCTTCTCAAGATAGTCGATGAATATTATACCACGCACATCCCAAAATACCGAGGCTATAACCTTTCCAGCTGATTGTTGTGCTTTCCGGCGCTTTGGACAAGGTTCACCAGTTGCTTTCCACTCAAATGACGATCGTTTTGATTCCGGAGTTAAGTAATGGATCCATGTTTCATCCATTGTAACTTATCGACACAAAAATTCCGGTCTGTTACGTTTAAACATGGCCAAACATTGCTCAGAATCATCAACACGTTGTTGTTTTTGGTCAACAGTAAGCAAACGCGGYACCCACTTTGAACAGAGCTTTCTCATGGACAAATGCTTATGCAATATAAAACCAACACGTTCTTTTGATATCTTTACGATCTCAGCTAACTCACACAACTTCACTTTCTGATCATTCAAAATGATTTTGTGGATTTTTTAAATGTTTTCTGGTGTTACTGCCTCATTTGGACGTCCACTGCGTTTTGCATCATCGGTGTCTCTACGACCACGTTTGAAGTCAGCAAACCAATGTTTCATTGTTGCTTCTGATGGAGCGGAGTCCCCATAACACTTTTCAAGCCATTGCTTCGCTTGAACGGTATTTTTTTCCATCAAGAAGCAGTGTAAAATTAAAACACGAAATTGTTTTTGATCCATTTTGAAAATAACAAAAGTAGCATCACTCTTAGCACAATAACTCACAAACTAATGAATAGAATGTTATGAAATTTTAACAGCTGTCTTTTGAAGGTTAATACTAACTGAAAATGAGATGAATGCAATAAAACTAGCGCCATTTATGTGTGAGGACCGGGACTTTTCATCCCATGTGTTAAATACAAGAATACTAATGCTTAATATCACAACTTTTGGTTTAGAGTAACTGAGTCTATTACTTCTTTCCATCCCTTATTACTAAGCTATATCTTTTTTTTAATTCTTAGATACAGTTGTCGGTACGCGTTACGCTATAACTGTCGTTGATGTAAGATTTAAAGATATATTTATATATACCTTCCAGATTCACACAGATTTACACACTTATACAACTTACAAAGCAGACTACATACCTTCTTTCTTTATTTCGACCATCGGTTCGTTTGGACCTTATTCTTCTGTCGCCTACCTACATGTTTATCACTGTTTATTTTTCTATCTTTCTATCACTCATTCCTACAAACAGGTTTAGTATCGAAATAATATAAGTCTACGCTTCGTAGTATGCAGTCGCACACAAACACACACATATACAACCAGGAGCGATAACTACGAAGCAGAGTATAAAGAGGAAACCGAGAATAGGAAAGACTATATATGTTAGCTATATTCTGTCTCATTCTCTCGCAGGCTCAATCCTATATGTTCGTCTCTTTTTCTCTTCTTATTTAGTATCATGGCCGTTTCTTTACTCGGTTACATCGCGCCGCAACATCACATCACGTTTCCTTTTTTTCAAATCACCCCCATTCTAAAGAAGTTTTTACTTCAATATTAACAATTTTCTAAATATGATCAATTGAGAATCCTTGCTTTTTCATTTCATAATGTATGCTAGGAACTTCTAAAAAATTAAATTGATTTTTGTATATCTCTGAAATGAACATATATACAACGATTTCAATGAAGTCTTGCTAGGTATACGTAAGTTTATGGCCGCCACTGTATACCGTCGTAGGTATCCAGCGGAAGAATAGAACGAATGTTCTTTCTAAAGGGCCCAATAGGGCACCGCGTCCCCGCATGTAGTTGGGGATAAGAGTGGTAGGAGTATAACGTTAACGTCTTTGATACCCTCGAGAGGACTCGATACGATTAAGCGCGTACTTTGAATATAATTTTGTAGTTTACGATCGCTTCCGATTGTACAGTAACTATGCAGGGAATCTTTTTTTATACAATGCATATTTTACGAGTTATTTTGAAACGTCATGTTCCGTGATTCACTCTGTATATTATTGCGAAAGAATTTGTACAGAAAATCGTGACGGGACGTCAAAATACGTCGTTGTTCTCCGCACATCATCCACTATCACGCTATAGAAAAATAAAATATAAATTCATTAAAAAAAATCAAGGTTATCTAAAGAACCTCTGCACACCTCCACCCACGCAAAACATATTTACACTACCTTATGTATGTCTTCATGCTATATAAGTTTTGTATATAACATTTTTCTATATTACAACAAATAACAGAAATACTTAGGTGCTAATAGTTGGTGGACCACCCTGCATATATTATCCTTCTATCCGTGTACGTCTAACCACATATGTGTACATGTGTAAGATATCGCATACTTGGATCTGGTTACTTATATAGGTAAAATGCCAGCAGGTTGGCGTCACAAGATTCCCCGGCTTGTCTGCTGTTACAATATTGCCTCTTCTTTGGCTTTAGGCCAGCTCTTACTGGTTGAGAGAACAGAGGAGAAAAAGATGGAAGAGTAGGTTTTGGAGAAAGAAAATAAAAGAAAGAGCGAATCCTTTTATCTAACCAGAGAGATAACTTTCGTGGTCGTATCTAAGCTTCCTTTTAATCTGTGAGTCCTTCACTGGTTTTCTTTCTTATTTCTTACGTTTTCTATCTCGATATCACGTTAAACATCTACCTCATCTTCATCCTCGTCGTCTCCGTCGTCTTATTATATCTTACCCTATGTCACGTTCTTCAATCTTCGTCTGTCAGTTGTGGGATTTTCAGTCTCGAAAGTTTAGCACCGAATGACGATGATAAAAAGAGAGATTATTTGATAGTTGAAGGTCTCATCTACCTTATACCAATTCGAATGTACGAATATAATATACACGTATATATGTTCAGGTGTCTCATAGATAAGGGCTATATGCTATCATTGAATGATATCGAAAGGGTAGATCACGAGAAGATCAGGAAAAGGTCTGCATATTCAAATTTTCCTTGGCTCGATTGATTTCTGGCTTGGTAAGTTCATGTAATAGGGGAAAGGGATATATGTATAGATATTGGTACTGATATGTATATATCTAACAGTAGGCGTTGGAAATTCACAAGTGTAATCGAAAAAAATCCGAGATGTTATCGAATCCTCGATCATGTCCTTATAGATCGGTTTTCAAGTACACATAGTACAAATGTAGTACAATCAAGGGCTTTTGTGAATAATGATTGCTGTGAAAAAAAACTTGTTTTTGTGTTTGTTATTTTATACTATATTAATTCACGTTTCCTTTTGTAAACGATAAGTCGTATTAGGTTACGGCCTCCTTCATTTGTGTTATTCTCTTTCTTCTAACAATTGGAAAACCATTGGCGGTGGCTAGGGCGATAACCGTTGACGGTTGTTTATGAAAAACCGTTAATGGTTACCAAGGAGAGGACCCTTAACGGTAACAATTAAAAACGGTGGGAGACCGATCTTTTCCGATTTTGGCCCCCACCTCCAGTGGATGCTGAAGGCCAATAAGATTAAAATTTTCCCTGCCCCTCTTCAAAAGGGTGTAGGATACTTTTTGTATAAATACGTGTAGATAAATTAAGTTAAGCGGTTCTCTGATTCTCTGTCTGATAAGTTGTTATCTGCGTCTGTAATTCTTTGTATATTCGTATTTCTATCAGTTATTAGTTATATGTTATTTTTCTGTGCTTATTATTATTTACTTTAATATATATTCTTGTTAATATTATATTATATACATTCATCATCTCTTTTTAATTTCTTATTTCATTTTCTATAACACACCACATTTTTAAACTTACCAATCTCTACACTCTGCGTCGATTTTTAAATATTTCTCGGAGTTCCTTTCGCGCATTTTTTCTTTTTTTCTCAATTGTTTTTTTATATTTTTTGTTAATTTTTCCCTTTAAATTAAGGAAAATTGCAGCGGGTTCGGCAAGGTTTTTATATTATATTATTTAAACACAATGTTTCAATATTACTTTATTCATACTCTATAAATGATATAACATTTATACTTAATAATATATTAATAATGGAACTTTCTCTTAATACGTCCGCGCTTATCGATTGATCTTTATCGACTAATCTATATCCCCGGATACGCTTCATATCCCTCTTTTGTTTTAACCTATTAGTCATCATTAGTCTTTGGGCGCGCATATTTGAATCTTACATTAAGAGTAGATGAAATTGTGGATTACTTTCTATTCTTTTTTTAACATTTTTATTTACAACAAATTTTTAAATATTATAGAATAGTCAGTAAAGAATCGTGAATGAGAAAGTTTGAAAAAAATGTTAAATAGCATGCCGCGAAATTTTGTGGGTGGTACTGAAGATGATGCGAAAGGGTAGTTGAAGTGTTCGCACGCACTATATGTTATGCTGACGCGAATCCGTTTTAAACTAACGTACAATTTTTAAGTTGCAATTATACGCGCGTTTTGTACGGAAAGTCTTACGACGGTAATTGATACAGTGTTAGTGGTTTTGTAGTATACTAAAGGTAATTCTTCAGTCAACAATGAATTTATTACTTAAGTCTTTGGCGACTATGTTACAATTGGCTTATGTGAACTGTATAAATGTATGATGTTTAATGTATAACGAGTAGAATGTATAATGAACAAAGTATATAATAGACCTTAACGGACTGTTGCGTAATGCGCAATGTGTTGGCGCGATCAAATTTTTGAACAGGATACACAGAAGCGGGACCTACCGGCGCCGGTTCTTTCGACGCATGCGCTAGCACAAGTGGACACAACGCTACTTCTTTAAGACAAGGCTTTCCCGTGCAGCTTGATTTCCCTCTACAACCCTATGCTCGTCGGCGGACCATGGAGAGTGACCCGACGGTTATTGGCCAATCAATTTGGGGAAGGAAGTACACAAGACTATCCGTTCCCTATAAAGGGCCACGGAAAATCGTCAATGCATTCAGTCAGTCAGCAACGCTTCTTGAGTCACATACAACCAAGCATCAAGAGCAAGGAAAACTCATCGGCACCCGACAAAGCACCCTAGCCACACCTCATCCAGTCACAAGCAACGCAATCATCAGGCAGCTCAGCATCGGGGCGATAGTTTACAAACAACAACGCAACAGCGTACTATATAACAAACAATAAAGGAACAATTCAATTCACATTAATTCACATTCCTCCACAATCCCTTAAAACCTTTTCCTTTTACGATAAATAAAGAACATCGTACTGATCAAGGCACCTGTACGCAACATGGACTTTAACGGACAGAGGGTTCTTACTTGATTTTACATGTTTTTATATCTAAATTAGTTACACCCCTTTGGAGAGGGAAGGAACTAAATGCAACTTATTAACCAATAGTAGGAGGGTCCACCCACCAGAGTGACTCGATAGGAGAGTTTATGTTTTTGGGAAGGATTATAGTGGGGGGTTTCTAAGAATATAAGGAATTACTTTATGAATAGTACCCTTCCCATCTGTTTTGTCTCATGTTATTTAAGTATTGTATACCACTCGAAGAACCCGACACCGCACGTGCTTTCGTCGCACCAATATGTTTATATGATTGTTGAGATGGTTTGGGGATTTATGGCTCCCCAGAATTTCCTAATCTTTAAGTAAACGATACCTTATACCTATTGCCTATCGTATTCTATAATATTTTATTTCATAGGCTTATCGC